GACAGCAAATGTACAACGTTTCGACCTGACTGATGACAAAACCTTAGTTCGAAACGTTGTTACATTTGCTGTCATGTTAAACTTATATTAAAGTTTTTTTTGTTTTTTTTCATTACCCATTTAAGCCGTCTCCAGCCATTAATAGAATAGTGTGAGTACAGTATATTAAAATGATTTTGGACACTCACTACATCATTACAGTACATTTCATCTTGTCTGATCTTGCTCTGTCTTATGACAGTGCATCTTGTCAACAGCTCACAATGTAGTTTCAATTGCAAAAGTCTCTATCATAAGGCTGCTATGTCTACAGATATGTCATCAAAGCAACTTGTGTCACCTTTCCAGTCTAGTATCCATCCTGATTATGATGCCTACTATTGCCTAGGACATGTGGACAGCATTTTCTGATGATCTTTTTGTTTGTGGATTCTCACCTGTTACAAGATGATGTATTTTGCATATAAAACTTTTTGCAAGTCTTTTTCTGGAAGGTCCTGGTGCCTGAAATTTATCCATATTCCTTTGTTTTCCAATGCCAATAAGTACAAGTGATATACCCATCATGAGATTTTAAATTCCTGGTCTGAAATAATTTTATGATATAAATGTATAAATATTTTCTGTTGGGAAGGGCTATTACATACTGTTCCCAAAAGTAGTTAGTCATCGGTGGAATTTCACTACTTACAAAATGTCAAGTAATGTCAAAATATACTTCTGATACATGTTGTCCCACTACAACTTTATAACAGCTGTGGTTGTCATGTGACTTGCTGATTTGCATATTCAAAATCCTTTTAATATGACATACTCAACCTTTTGTATTCTAGCATTAAACTTACCCAATTAGGCATTAAAACTATTTACATCTATTACAAATTACAAAAATCCAGATAGATAACCTAAACTAAATAAAATATTGAAGTAAAATCATGTTTTACTTCATTTTTATTATTTTGAATTATTTAAAAAACTTAGGTTCAAGCAAACCAAGTTATACTGTGAATGTACATTAACTTATGGAAAAAGTTTCTCAATGATGAAAACATTGAAGGATTTGAGAAATAATTCTTGTTCTCTTTGCAGTTCAATCATAATAGAAAGTAAAATTTGCCATGCTTGATATAGTATTATTTGAATGTTGATGGTGATGACAATGGCATATTTTGTAAGCTCTGCATATTTCAGAGAGATTTCCTAACTTAATTAAATGCATAAACGTTTGTATCACATAAGTATGTAGAAATTGAGATGTATATTTTAAATTTATATATTGTAATTGGTTGATATTAGCTTGGAAAAAGAAATTAGAAATATCTTTTTTATAGCTTTTGATGATAGACAAAACTGTTGTAATTAACAAGAACATTTTTGCATATTTATTAGTTGCTGAGTTGTTAGGGGTGGACACTAACTGCCTAACTGATGCCTTAACTACTACAACTATGGTTATGAGAGGTGAGACAATTACTCGACCTAACAGTGTACAGGAAGCTGAATGCACAAGGGATGCTATGGCAAAAGCCCTTTATGGCAGACTTTTTGACTGGATTGTAAACCAAATTAACAGACTCCTCTCTTTGGGTCGTATAGTGTAGTAAGTACTATTGCAGTTTTGTTTAATTTTTCAATAGTAATAATCTTTTTGAGGTACTAAAAATGTCTGAGTTCTATTTGCTAGAAATTTTTATCTTTCATAATTTCAACTAATCATATATGATTAAATATCTATGATGTATATATGTGTGTGTGTTTTATATATATCAGGCATTTTATTTGGATATTACATTAAAATGCCAAAATATTTTTCTGTTTTGATTTCTAGTGGAGAACAACTGTCTGTTGGGTTGTTAGATATTTTTGGATTTGAGGACTTCAAAGAAAATTCTTTTGAACAGCTGTGTATCAATATTGCTAATGAACAAATTCAGTATTACTTTAATCAGCACATTTTCACCTGGGAACAAGTAAGTACATATGGAGTTTACTCAACAATGTTTTATCCTTTTTGGAATATGTTTCTTTCATATTAATTATTGAACCTTAAAACTGAAGTTTTTGAGAAATCTTGCCTGGAAATTATCTTGTAATAAAATGAAAAGACCTTTTGTGGAATACTTTAAACATTTATTTAATTCACACTTAATGAGTAGACAGTGCTATGTAGGTAATGTTTAATGTATAGAATACTTCTTCTTGAATGATGTGTATTTTGTAGATTTACCATTAGACTTAAATCAACTTAAATCAATTTGTATATAGTGCAAACATAAGACTACTAGTTATATTTGTAACAAGGTAATCCACTTATGTTCTTTGAAAAACTTCTTTAGATAAATAAGAAATAAGCATACATGCATAGGTAATCAGCTTAAAACTAGTTCACATAAGTAAAGCTTAAGGTGGTATTGTTTTAGGAATTCACTGATGTATAGAAACTAGCATAATGTTTTGAATTTTATAAAAAAAAAAGGATAGTGTATGATGAAATAACTTATTATTTCAATTTATTTCATCTACAGCAAGAATACAGAAGTGAAGGAATAGACATAGACCTTGTGAATTACAGTGATAACAGACCTGTTTTGGATATGTTTCTAGAAAAACCAATGGGACTTCTGTGTCTTCTAGATGAAGAAAGTCACTTTCCTAATGCCACTGATCAATCTCTTGTTGGTAATGTTTAATACATAAATCTTTATAAAATTAAGTTTTGCTTTTGTATTAAAGATATAATATTTTCTACCATATTGTTTTAAGTATGTCAGTATAAGTTTTGAATTGTGACAGAAAACAAATGGTTTAAAATGTTATTTCAGCTAGGTTACATGTTTTTTCTCAAGAGCTATTGCATAAAACTTGACAGAATGTTTAGATGCAAAGTTTTCATACTATATCATAACAAACGTTTATATGTTATTAGAACTACAAAAAAATCTATCATTAGCATAGAAGTTATATGGGTGTAGTAAACCAACCTTTTGTTAACCTGCTGAGCAAAAAAAATGGCAATAGGACTTTTTGCATGCCAAACAATTGATTTTCTGCCTAAACTAAAGGGTTAACCATTAAGTATGAAAAATATAATGCATCAACACTATCTGTTCACTTAATAATCTTAAACTGAGCACAATACTTCAAAAGTGGCCTAAACAGTGACCTGTACAATGAAATTATAACCTCTTGTATTCAATATTTTTTTAAATACAACATAAAATCCTATTTGCTCTACCACTAGCAATAGCACACTGATCAGATGGTATAATATACTGATCAACCAGAACACCAAGATCCTTTTCTTTCATAACACTATTAAGGTTATTCCTATCAAAAATCATACTTATAACAAAACACATGCATTACTCTGCAGTTATTGTAATTGAAAGCCATCGCCTATGTAATTGTCCAACTCACCAAATGATATAAATCCTTTTGTAGAGCAAGCAGTATCTACCTCACAGCCAACAATACCCAAGACTTTAATATCATCAGCAAATTTAAGTAATTTATTGACCATTCCGTCATTTATGTAATTGGCAAAAAAGAGCAGAAGTCGTAACACTGAGCTTTGAGGTACCTCACTTGTGATATTAATCCAGTTTGACTGAACTACATTTATAACAACCCTCTGGTTTCTATCCAACCAGCCAAATTATCTTCCACACTTGTAAAGATCATTTTTTAAACATGCCTTTTATGTGGCACATTACAAAATGCTTTCTGAAAATCTAGATATACCAAATCCACACTTTTACCGTCATCTACATAAGCAGTTACCTCTTTAAAGAATGTCAAAAGGTTAGTAAGGTAAGATTTTCTCCTAGTTAAACCATGTTTACAATTAAACAAAATTTTAAACTTTGTTAAATGATTTTCAAAAACTTTGCCCATCACTAATGCAAGAAAAATAGGCCTGTAATAACTGGGACAATTTTTATTACCACTCTTAAAAAAAGAAGAATAACATTAACCAACTTCCAGTCCTCTGACATGAACCCACTGCTCAAGAAATTACACAAAATACTACCAATTGGTTCACATATACGATCCTTAACCTTCTTCAGAACTATTTTGTAAATATTATCTGACCCAGGAGCTTTATCATTCTTTAAACTTTCCAATTTTTTTAACAAGCTCAAAAGTAATGTGATCATCTTGTTTCCATCTAGAAACTGTTCAGGACAAAGAATATTGCTTAAATCTTCATTAGTAAAAATTGAAGAAAATGTAAATTTAATAACCCAGCCATCTCATAATCATCAGATATGAGCTTTACTTTATCATCCCTGAAAGGCCTTATTTCCATCCTAACATTTTGCTTAACCTTAATGAATTTAAAGAAATTGTTACTGTTAATTTTAATATTTTCAGCCAACCTTTTTTTCATATAGCCTTTTGAATTTCCTAATTTCTTGGTTGACGAACTCTTTTGATTTCCATAATCTTAATAGCAGTCAATTTAAAAAATATATATTTTTTAATTTTCCACATTTGATCACTGTGTCCAATTAATTCAGATGCTCAATTCACAACATTTAGTTCTTGTCACATCCTTTCAAAATTTTTTTTTAATTTGGAACCAAATTCATTATTCCTTATCTCTATATGCAGCAAAACATCAAATCTAATTAAGTAGTGATCACTTGCATCCAGAAGTTCCCCAGCCTTCACCCTATCAACCATTTATGTATTAAAACTTAACAGTAAATCTAAAATAGCATTGTTCTTAATAGGTTATCCAACCAATTGGTGAATAAAACCAACCTGAACAATTTTTAAACACCTATATCCCTCATGATTTTTCTCTAACATTTCCCAGTCTTTATGCCTGAATTTAAAATCACCCATAACCAGAACCCAAAGAGATTCAACCTCCTTGCTGTTAACTTTGATATCCTCAACTTGAACAGGATGTAACTTACAATTTATGTATAAAAGCCACTCCTCCCATTCTTTTTAGTACTGTCTCCCCATTAAATAATATTTAACATTTCATTTCACAAAAAGATCTTTCATCAAAATTGTCTACATTTATCCAAGTTTCAGTTACTTCCATTATATCAAAATATTCTGTTCCGACTATTGCTCTAAAGTCTTAAAATGTTTTCTTATAATTCTAGCATTACAATAATAACAGTTCAGCCTACCTTTAGAACTACTTCTGTACTTTGTTCCTATACTATACTTTTCTCTGCTTCTTATTTTTTCTTCATTACTCTGGCTCTCACCATTGTCTAGTCCTGATATAAAGCTGCCCTCATAGTTAATGACCTTGGAAAACAAGCCAGCCTCTATTCTATTTAAATGTAAACCATCCATTTCAAAAAGATTTCTTTTCTCATTGAACTGATTCCATAAGTCTAACTAGCCACTCATCGTCACATATTATCCTAAGCCTAGCATTCAGCCCTTAGCAACCTACTTATAATTTCATCCACACAATTACATCTTGGCAGTATCACTAACAGAATTAAGTTATTATGGCCCTTTTTCTAAATGCCTTTATCAATATCTTGTACTCATCAGTTAGATCCTTTGGCCTACCATTCTCTACATCATTAGGTTTTATGTGCACGAGAATGACTGCTAGCACCATTTACTATATCACTTGCTGTGTCAGTTATATCTTCCACTCCTGCCCATGGATAGTAAAACCTAATTCTATTTCTTTCCTTTTATCCCACAGACTATTCTATCTATGTGCCATACCAAAGAATCACTAATAACTATACCTTTCATTTCCATGCTTTTCTATTATTTTTGTTTTCCTTCCCTACCATAGATCTTCATTTGCACAAGCTTAAGGCTGAAATCTGTTACTTAAGAGTACTTGCTCATTACATTTAAAACTACTATTTCTAGCCTTAATATTACTATTTCTAGTTTCATGGAAGCCATTATTAGCTATTGTATTCCTTACATATAAAAGCCTAAGATCCTGTTGCCATTTCCCATGATTCACAATTCTCTTTATCTGATGCTTTTACTCTTTTTAGAATAGCCTCCAGTTTCTTTTCCAACCTGTAAACTCTATGAACAAATTGCACATCTTTACTGCTACCTTCTTTAAAATTGCATTCCAATCCTGATTTTCCAAATAAAACCTATTCCTTGCATCCATTGTTCTCTACAAACTGTGAGCACTTAACACCTACACTGGTCTTAACCATTGTAATTTGGGCATAAATAATCAACACTAAACACAAGTAACCTGTTGGCAAGACTAAGAATTAAGTGTATTACAGTTTTTTATCATTACTTTAGTTTCACGGTAAAGTAATTAAATTTATCTTTTAAGTATAGAAGAAAATTATGAACTTTTAGGTATGTTTTAGAAAATCTAAATTCATAGAACATAAAATATATAGGTAAAAAGGTTTTTAGATTGTCTCTTAAACATTGTAGTATAGCAGTGTAACTGTTGTTAATATCTGAATTTTTGATTTTCAGAGAAATTCCATAATAATGTTAAGTCCAGGTATTATATTCGGCCTAAATCCAATGCATTACAGTTTCATATCCAACACTATGCTGGCAAGGTAAATATAAGTGAAGGAAATTAAAATATTTCTTTATATTCTCTAAGATACAAGACAATATGTGTTTTAATAAGTTAAAACAAAGAATAGTTCTCATAAAGTTCTGTTGTTTCCAAACTGGTACCTATTTACATTATAGCATGACGACGTCATGGTTTTCGTAATTATGTCCATGCCATGTCTAAATAGTTATATAACACTTTTGATCATAGTGATGTACTAATACTGTTTATCATTTTGAAATAATAATATGACATTTACTACATGGTATCTTAGTATGTGTTATATATCAATTCATAGAATTGATTGATACCATATAACATCCAAAAATACAGGAACATAGTATGTACTGTATCTCCTTAATGACTAAGGTACTGAAGATAAATAGGAACAATTAACATGATTTTCTAAACATCCGTTATCTTATTAATATAAGTGTTATATGTGACAATGCTTTTACATCTGGCATTGAGAAGTTTATTATAAATTTCAGGTGTGTGTGTGTTTCTTTTTTTTGGGGGGGGTTATTATTATTTCACATATATAATCAATGAAAATTTTTCTCGGATTGTTTTATGAAATTACACATTTGCAATGTTTTCTTGTTTAAAGGTAACATACAATGCTCACAACTTTCTTCAGAAAAACAGGAATTTTCTACCTCCTAAGATAATTCACTTGTTACGACAATCCTCACTGACCATCATTCAAACATTATTTCGAATGCCATTAACTAAGACGGGTCATCTCTTCAATCCTGAAATTAATTTTTCTGTTCACAAACCTTTGTTGAAAGATGATATGATATCTAAGGTATTTATATATTTCTTTTTTTTAGTTACTTAGGGTTAAAAAAAAGAATTTTATGCAGTATTGGTAGTGATATGAATTATTTTATTGAAAACAATTCTGTGTTGCTTACAATAAACCTTGGTTACCCTTTTTTTAATTTAAATTTTTATATGTATAACACAGAAAAATGACATTTAAGTTACTATGTAATCATGTATTTTTCCTTTATGCAGTTAGCTAGATACAAAAATGTTAACAAGGTAATTAATGGGAAATTTCTCCAAAAAATCTATATTTGGTCTGCTAATTTTCAACTTCTGTCAGCATTAGTCTCTTTAAAAATGTTAACATTCAGCTTAATGGTGCCTTTAATTTCTTAAACATAAAAATATCTTTGTTTTTAAGAATGCTCAAACGTGTCTCACACACACACACAAATATTCTTTTCTGAAAAATGTAAAATAGTTCCCTCTCACATATTGATTTAATTTTTGGTGTTTAATTTGCCTAAATATGTTTATATTTTATGTATTTGTCAAATGTTTTATTTTCATAATTAACTTTTAGATAGTATTGTATGCATGCTTCTTATATGTGATATTTTCAGCTTGTTGAAATCTTTATGTTCAAAATGTTATGAAATGTATTTTGTGAAATGACTAAAATGAATGTTTAATAATTAATTTCAAATTTATTTTAACTTTTAAAATTAGTTTCTCTTTAGCGAAATATTGCAACAAAATTACATGATACTTTACAATATATATGTTTCTGGAACACTCAGAATATATTAGAAGAGTAATAAAAATGCAGAACTTATAAAGTTCTCCAAGAAGATCAGACTTGCTTACAAACAAAAAAGCATGTAAATAATAATATATCAAAGTATAATTTGATATTAAGTTTTAGAGCTGTATATTGCTTCAGCATGGTTTCATAAGGAATTTTATTTCATATAAGTGTTCTATTTTTTTTTAGTACAATACTCATGGCCTAATTAGCCAGACTCGAGCTCAGCAGACTGTTGCAACTTATTTTCGTTACTCATTGATGGATCTTCTTAACAAAATGGTCAGTGGTGTTCCACACTTTGTTCGCTGCATTAAACCAAATGATGAGAAACTTCCAGCACATTTCAACTTGAAAAAGGTAGTACAGCAGCTTCGTTACACAGGCATACTAGAAACTATTCACATTCGTCAACAGGGTTATTCCCACCGGCTAACATTTGCAGAGTTTTTGAGAAGGTAATTCACTATATAATGTTTGAGTAACCTATGTAAGATTCTTACAGTTTATGTTCCTTTGACAAAATTTGTTTTATTTTAATAGACTAAACAATTTTGTATTAGTAGGGTCTTCTGTCTGCTGAAAAACTGTTATTCTGCAGTAGCTAGTCACACAATTTTTTCATGTATCCAAAATAATTATCTTATGTTTGGATGTTGAAGGAAGATATAGTTAAATGAGGAGTTGCTGATAAAAATATATCAAAGAGTTGTGAGCTTTCTATAAGCTACACTGAAACATGAAATTAGTAGTGAAGATTGTGTTTGATGAAAGCTTTCAAACTTTTTTTTTGATATCATGATGTTCTTTGTTTAGTGTATTATGATTAATCCCTTACTCTTGAACAACTTATAGAAACCACTACATACACCCTTTTAAATGTTGTGATGAAGCATAGTTTTACATTGTCATTTTCATGGTGCTATTTTTTTATTAAAATTGTGAAATTAATGTGGAAAGATATGCAGGATTGGAGGTGCTTTACACTGGAATAAAAATGGGATTGTGGAAATAATTTCTGACACATTAAGAACTTGGAAAGTTAATTTGTTCATGAAATCTAAGTAGTGATTGTGATATATGTTAGTGCAACTACATATAATAGGTTTAGATCTTTTTTTTCACACAAGTTTTTTTTCTTTCTAACCTAAAGTGTTATATGTTCTTATATTAGATACTGTTTTCTTGCCTTTGGATTTGAGGAGAGGGTTGTTGTGTCACAAGAAAACTGTCGGCTGTTACTGCTAAGACTAAAAATAGATGGTTGGGCATTGGGGAAAACAAAGGTAAGAAAAAGAAGTCTAGTATTTGGTCTTTTTGTCACTAAACATGCATTATATATCCAATCTTTAAATAAACATGTATTGAGATGTACAAAACTTAAGACACAAGAAAGTGGAAATAACAGTGAGTTTCAGGGTTCTATCCTTCTTTAGGTTCATTGTACATAAGTATATTAATATGATTTTTACCTGAGAACACAGAATAAGTGCAAAATATAAAGTTTTAATTAATTTTATTCTTACTCAGGTGTTTCTAAAGTATTATCATGTGGAATACCTATCCCGCATATATGAGCAGCAGATCAGAAAGATCATTGTAGTTCAGGCAGCTGCTCGAAGGTGGTTAGCAGTACAGAAGGCAAAGAGAGAGAGATGGCAAATTGCCCAGAGTGTTTTGATATTGCAGAAATGTAGGTTCTGATATATGCTGATTCTTTTTTTTTCTACAACTCATAAAAAAAATCCAAATATCTTAGTTTTGCTGTAATTCTTCAAATGAAAAACTGTTAATGAGAGGATGTGTTTTTGAAACATTATAAGCCATTGAATTGGTTTATCTCTAGTAGACAACCTTTAAATTTTGAACATTGCAACCAAAATGATATTGTTTTTTGTTATGATTACAGCACATAATTATGCATGTATTTGAAGTTCATAAAACTCTACTCACTGTGTAATTACTTTTTACTTATTTCCAGATGCTAGAGGCTGGCTAGCAAGAAGAAGTAGAAATTTAAAGATGTCCAAACCATTGTCCAGACCAAGTAAGTGTCAATGGTTTCATCTCTCGCATGTTTGAAATATACTATGATAACGCTTAATTTAAGTTTGTATATGTTCAACTATCACTTTATTTAAGCTTGCAGAGGTGTTCAGTATATAGTTTAAGCTTATAAAGATGTTCAACATTTAGTTGAAATGTAAAAACGAAAAGAGTTCAACTTGTTTAGCTGCAACAATTTTCCCTAAAATACGTGTTTTTACTGATTATTTGTGTATGCAAAAGTTTTATTTGTGACAAGTTGTTTGAAGAGAATTATTCATATGTATGAATATAATAGTTTGAAACTTGAACCTGGAAACTTGCTTACAGGTGATGGACCTCAAATTCCTCCATGGAGAAGGGACACTAGCCCACAACCAGATGATGATGTTAGGTCAGAAAGTCCAGCAAGTGATACTCACAGTTGTACTCCTGATGAGGCAGCCTGTACCATACAAAAATGTAAAAACTGGGAGGGTGGTCTCTAGTGAATACTTTTGTTTTATTTTTTTGTGAAATTTGTAAGAGAAAGATAATATTACATTAATATCAAAGTATTTGTAACTACTGGAAACCCTAAAACATTAATTGTTAATAAACAAAATTACGACACTTATGATATACAACATTGTTTATTGACAAAAAGGGGACATGGATAAACGTTTCAGAATTCTATCAGATTCCATCTTCAGTATCTAAAGCAGAATAAAATGAATTTACATAAGTCTTTATACATTGTCAAAGTACAGTTGCTAAATATAATGATAATTAAACAAATAAAACACTAAACAGTAATCATGGGGAGAAACTACAGCAAGAAAACACAACGAAAAAAAAAAAGGTAAAAATCAGTAATACGAACATATTAAAATATGTATAATTTAAATGAAGACTGCATGTTGTCCAGTGTTGGAGAGTGCTGTTTGATGTGGAGGGTTTCTTTGATCAATAATTCCAGGTCAGTATTAGACTTGCAGAGGATAGAGATATTTGATAGTATAGGTTGATGTCCTGTTTCTTCACTATGTTGGCGTATAGAGGAAACACAGGGGTTATTGAATTTTTTTTTGCATTTTGATGGAAATTTCC